ATTTCGAGAAACCGAATTGCTGGAAAATTTGAAATTTTTCGCTCCGGTTTTGGAGAATATGCTTGGACGGTGCTCAGAAAAGGTTATCTTTATTTCAGCAGCGCGTGGTGTCGTAATCTTGTTTTTTGAAACCCGAAAAAAATGACCGGAGCTGCCAAAAAAAAGGAAGAGCACAGATATATTGCAGATTGCTACGGGCGAAATTTACAATGAACTGATGTTAACTGATGTAGATTTGGCCGACAGCCCAGCAACATTTGACTGGAAGAAAGAATTTGTCGATATGCTCCTGGATTTAGAAGAAAAGGTTTAATTTTTTGCATTTTTTGTTACTGTTGAGACAATAACACATTTGTTGAGAATTGCCTATGTATATACGCATATTCATATTGTACGTGTGTCTGTCTGTCTGCCGCAGTTCTTCATTGTATTTTGAAGAAATAGCATGCATTTATGGAAAATCTTTAAATTTTTGCTAAACTTTTGCAATTTCGTACTGATTTTTTCCAGATCGAGCAGGGCTGCATGGGTAGTGTGTTTGGCGCTGATTTACGTAGCAGGGATGAATGGCGACAGTCACTCAAAGAAAAACACAGTATTGCTTTGTTTGTCACAAGTAACCATTCTTTTTCATTTCATAATTGCTTCGCTGTAAATGCTCCTAACTTTTAGAATCTAAAATAACAAAAGTTTCTAAAAAAAATGAGGCTTTCGTTTGCACAGAAAATGAGTTTCCTGTATAAAATAGCTGGAAACACAATTCAAATGCGCTTCCAATCAGAGGCGTGGGGGCGTTGTTAGTATGAAACTAGGAACAAATAGTTTAGGATAGGGAAACTTGGTATAGCTAGAGATGGTGTTTCAGTGTACTGGAGCAATCGACAACATAATTGGGGAGGGAAGAGAAAGGAGATTGACCGGTTTTATGCTTTAAAAAAAGCATTTGAGTCACTTCGTATCTAGAAAAATGTGCGGAATTGAGCCGAAATAATGTTGAGAAATGCTAAATCACCAAAAAGTAGATCAGTTCCAAAGTTTTTCAATTCTGCTTTGGCATTTTGAACCAGCACTCTTTCTTTTTTTCATATTAAATTAAAATGTTTGAAACTTTTCATTGACATTAGGATTTGTATATTACGAGCAGCAAAGTGATGGGGATCGAAGAGACTTTCTTACATTGCTTAGCGAAGGAGCGTGGGAAAGACGAGGAGGAGGGGCAGTTAAGGTGTTAGTACGACGGAAAGTTCGAAATAAAATTGGATTTTATTTACCCCATTTGTCAGGTGACGTGGAAATCTTCGGTGAAACAGTAATCAGTTTCGATGAAGTGCAATCGTTGGATGATGTCAAGCAATTGGCACTGGCATTTTTGCGCATTGTGCAAGGAATAAATCTAAAGTTTTTGCGCCTTCCGTTCGTCAAACCTTCTTCCAAGGACAAGGGCTGCGTCAATATTCCAACAACCACGTTTGATTTATGGCAGAAAGCATTGCTGGAATGCTCTTCAATCTCAGCACTATCACTGTTCTACTCAACTTTAGAGCCAGCTATATTGTGGACGAAAAGTCGGCTTCAGGTACGCAGATTTTTTGTTCGATACGCCTGACTATTCAACATATTTTCTTACCCGCATGCAAAATTCGGTCTGAGTTTACAGCTAAGGGATGAAACACAGAGACTGCATCGTGAAATATTCTCTTACGCGTGAATTAGCCCAGTCCTATTCTACTACTTAACATTTTATTGTTTCGCTCTTTGCTTCTGAGTTCCTTGCGGATTTTGGCTTCCCAAAATTTTTTTATATAATGGCAATAGTTGGCAGACACGGTGCAATAGAGTAGCACTGTTGTCATGCAGTAGGTCGAAAGTTCATCTCCGCCGGTGGAGCATTCAATCCCTATACGACTCTTTATTCGTTTCGGTAGTAAGTTGGTACTGGCTTAGAATCAAACCGCCATCAGATTGCTTGTAAGCAGCTCTCTAACGAGAGAACCATCGACAGGCTTGTCAGCGGGTTGTTGCTGCTGGAATTTGCTACTACTCGAGCTACTTCCCAAATGTCTCCACCTCTTACTGAGAGCGAATATTGGAGGGTTTTTGATTGTTGATAATAGCAATACTAGAAATAATAGCGCAATTGGTTACCGTAGTCGTGGAACTTCGGCCAATGTCGTCAAGGTAGATATTTCGGGAAGCGCAGGTTTATGACCAAATGAGGAGTGCATTGCGGTGTGTGCTTTGGCAATGTAATTATTGTTTTCCATGGTATAAATCGTTGGACATCAATTATATTACATTTTTAAGGCGAAATGTCGTATATGCAGGAAAAAAGGGGAAGCAGAGAAGTTATGTATGTGCATACGATGCGACCGATGCTATCATGTGGACTGTGTAAAACCAAAAATAAAAGTAAGTTTCTCCTTCTCAGGTGGCGTATCAGAAAGGTATTCCTAGCTGAACTGGCTAATTTCAGGTTCCTAAAAACTGGATGTGTTCTGACTGTAAAGCAATTGTGAAAGCGCAGGAGGCGGAAGAAAAATGGAAAAAACGACAAGCTGTGAAGAAAGGTAGCAATTCGTAAATCTTCTGTGACGCTCAAGACAGGCCAGATTGTACACCAGCAAAATATTTTAAAAATAAATGCTTCTGAATCTCTCTGTTTTCTTCATTCTTTCGGTGGGAAGTGCTCTTTTCTTGGGCGTTCTAGAATTTTATAACGGGTTAAAACGTTATACCTTTTTACTGTACGGTCACGTCAAGCTGATTGTAGCAACAAGGTTGACCTTGGAGGCTTGGGTGGCGAAAATGCGATAGATTACAGCATAAAAAAACAGTATGAGAAAAGAAGGTAAGGATGAGATAAGACGTTTCGGTTCATTAAGTCATATACGTATTAACTCAATACCGCGACAGAACCTCGCCATTATGACGGTCGCAGTGCTTAATGGAAAGGGAGAGGAAAGGAAAAGACGACAGGAAAAAACAGAAGGAGACATGATGTAAATTGTGGGGCTAGATGGAGCAAGAGTTAGGTGAAGAGGGAAGGGAAAAGAAAGGAGGGAGAAAAGGATTTTAAGAGGAAAAGAGTTTTTAAAGTTATTTTAAAAAAAGTTTTTATATATTTGTTAAAAGTGTTTTTTTTAAGAAACGTTTTTAAAAAAAAGATTTAAAAAATGTTTTCAAAAAAAGATTTAAAAAATGTTTTTAAGAAAAGATTTAAAAGATTTTTAAGAAAAGATTTAAAAAACGTTTTTAAGAAAAAATTTAAAAAAGGTTTTTAAAAAAAGATTTAAAAAACGTTTTTAAAAAAGTTTTGTAAAAATTGGTTTTTTTTTTAAAAAGATCAATAGCGAATCTCGATCATGGAGGTTTTATTGCTGGAACAATTATTTGCGGAGCCGTCGACGCTACAGATCTTACTTACCGATCATTTGTTGATAAAATCAGATTACGAATGACAGTAAGGGAGTTCGAATGCATCAAGTCCCAAGTTGTTCTCAGTTGTCGTTCCAGTTCCTATCCAGTACCTGAATCACTGTATTTTATTACATATTACGCCTTATCAGCGTTGCACATACATCATCAACAACAACAACAGCAGCCGAAAAGTTGCACATGCCAATAAAGAAGAAACAACAGAAATCGCAGAGTTAAATGAAAGTGGACAACTTGCACCAATCGGTTCAAGTGGTCATTCCTACTGGCTGGACACAGCAAGCGAACGAAGTTTCGAACGCTCAGGCTTCTTTGCAACGAACGAGGAAAAAAGCCATTGTTTCTCCTCCACCAATCCATTCTGGATCATTCTGGCCGCCGATTAAGTAAATCGGTCTCACTTTGTTTCGTCCTCAATGGTCAGGCACCAATATGAACCATTGGGCTTATCATTCGGTGATTCAGCTTGCTCACAGCTGCAATTGGGAAAGAAAACTGGAAGGATTCCAAAGCACAGTGTTTTTTCGCTTCTGAACCGGAGATGACGGAGTGCTTGACGAATGAGTAAATATGGCTGCCTTATTGCCGTGCGGTACTAAAACTGCTATCTTTCTGGGCATCTTTAACGCCATGATACTCGGAAACGAGAACTTATGGATTTTTTGAGATGCAAAATAACAAAATGTGACGCTCACAGAACACTTGCATCATCGGGATTCATCAGCGGATATTAACTTCTTTGTCTGTTCCTTGCCAACAGCGCTTTTGTCCCTACAACAAACAGCTTTTTTGTCGGTTCCTTCTGCCTTACCATTGTCAACTGTGCTTTTGCTCGACCTTCTCTACGCGCATTAAAATTACCGGTCAAGACTGTATGCGTGGACTTGCTCTAGGACTTGTTTTTACTGCTCCCGCATCAAATAACCAGTGATTGTGGAAAGATAAACTTGGAACGTGTTGACTTTTTCATCAAAATCCGGTTGTAGCAAGAAGGTAGCGATACCTAACTTATAAAACTGATCGAAAATACTTTGTTGAGGTCACTGGTCGGCCAGAAAACAGGCCTTGCTGGTGTCCTAATAAAAAAAAAAATCGTTCGGCTTTCCACACCATTCTTTTTTACTTTAATTTTTTTTTCACTTATATAAAATTTAAACGGCAACGGGGATACAGATGCACGTTCGTTACATAAGCATTGCATTTGCATGTTAGTGATTTGTTGCGAAAGTGAGCGATCGAGTTGAAAAATAGTTTTTTTATTTGTAGAAGAAGGTGATTGCGAAGAAAGCGATGAAGAAGTTGGCACAACAGCTGATGACTCTGTTGAACAGTCATCTTCCGATGAAGAGTATGTCTAATTTCAATTACTCTGTCGCTTAGTTTTTTTACGTTTTATGCTGCATAAGACTCATGTCAAGAAATTGTAAGTAAAGCAAAAGAAGGAATGAAAAGAGGAATAAAAACAAATTGGTCTTTAAGATTTTTCATTGGTATTCCGAGCGATACTGGTGTTTTTGATGCTTTTAGGTTCCAACTTCCACCAGAGATGCTGAAAACTTCCAGTGGACGTATTGTTAAAAAGGTAAGCATCGGAACTATCTTTTTTTAGAATATTTTGTAATTTTTTTTCCTGCAGCAATTTCTGTTACATCTGAATCATTAAGATCTTTTGCAGTACAGGTCGAAAGCCTCGATATTTTCTACTGTAAAAGAGCTGCTATCTGAGTTCCTGGAAAGGGGCGGAAAACTTGGGGTTTCGTATCCCACCAGCATCAGCAGTTTTTGCAATTCACGCATCAATCATAGCCGAGTGGAGCCGAATTTTAGTAGCTATCGCTGTTTGTAACGTTTTGTCGGTTGCTTTTATATTAGCGATCATTTCTGCTGTGATTGCTCATTAATTTGTTCTGCCCTTTTGTTATTTTTTATCTTCCGCTAGCC